GGTTATTGTGGGTTTCCTGAATGATAGTAAACTGAGCCACAGAATCTGCAACAAAAAATGAGAGAATGATGATAGTAAAAAAATCCTAATATATTGATATTCATATTCAGTAATATAAATAAAGTCTAAAATATGACTTACAGAAAAAAAATAAGTGAGGAAAGTGAAGACCGCCCAGAACATGATCAGGATGATGAGGAATCACTTTGACAGAACAGAGTTTAGTTGAATCCTTCTCATTCTCACAGTTATATTCTGTATATAAACCACACCTTTCTATGCAAAGTGTCTCGCATTTATTTGCCAACAGCAAATGAATTGTATGCAAAATGCTTATTTTCTCTAGTTATTATTAGGTATTTTCTTTAGTTTCATTTAAATACTGTAAGTACCGTATTTTCCGGCGTATAAGAAGACTGGGCGTATAAGACGACCCCCTACTTTCCTGTTAAAATATAGGGTTTGAGCTATACTCGCCGTATAAGACTACCCCCTCTTCCAACGCACACCAAATAAAAAAACATCAGATTTGATTTCAATATGGTATGCTATTTCAGTATGGTATGCCAATGATGGGACACTATTCCTCCCACTGACACCAATGATGGGACACTATTCCTCCCACTGACACCAATGATGAAGCACTACTCCTCCCACTGACACCAATGATGGGGCACTATTTCATCCACTGACACCAATGAAGGGGCACTATTCCCCCTCCCACTGACACCAATGATGATGGGGACACTATTCCTCCCACTGACACCAATGATGGGGCACTATTCCTCCCACTGATACCAATGATGGGGACACTATTCCTCCCACTGACACCAATGATGGTGCCCATCATTAGTGTCAGTGTTGTGAGGAATAGTGTCCCATCATTAGTGTCAGTGGGAGGAATAGTGACCCATCATTAGTCAGTGGGAGGAATAGTGCCCCATCATTAGTGTCAGTGGGAAGAATCGTGCCCCATCATTGGTGTCAGTGGGAGGGAATAGTGTCCCATCATTAGTGTCAGTGGGAGGAATAGTGCTCCATCATTGGTGTCAGTGGGAGGAATAGCACCCCATCATTGGTGTCAGTGGGAGGAATAGTGCCCCATCATTAGTATCAGTGGGGAGAATAGTGCCCCATCATTGGTGTCAGTGGGAGGAATAGTGTCCCATCATTAGTATCAGTGGGTGGAATAGTGCCCCATCATTGGTGTCAGTGGGAGGAATAGTGTCCCATCATTAGTGTCAGTGGGAGGAATAGCGCCCCATCATTGGTGTCAGTTAGAGGAATAGCGCCCCATCATTGGTGTCAGTGGGAGGAATAGCGCCCCATCATTGGTATCAGTGGCAGGAATTGTACCCCATCATTGGTGTCAGTGGGAGGAATTGCGCCCCATCATTGGTGTCAGTGGGAGGAATAGCGCCCCATCATTGGTATCAGTGGCAGGAATTGAGCCCCACCATTGGTGTCAGTGGGAGAAATTGCGCCCCATCATTGGTATCAGTGGGGAGAATAGTGCCCCATCATTGGTATCAGTGGGGAGAATAGTGCCCCATCATTGGTATCAGTGGGGAGAATAGTGCCACATCATTGGTATCAGTGGGGAGAATAGTGCCCCATCATTGGTGTCAGTGGGAGGAATAGTGCCCGATCATTGGTATCAGTGGGGAGAATAGTGCCCCATCGTTGGTGTCAGTGTGGAGGAGGAATTGTAGTGCCCCATCGTTGGTGTCAGTGGCGGAGGAACAGTGCCTCATCGTTGGTGTCAGTGTGGAGGAGGAATAGTGCCCCATCGTTGGTGTCAGTGGGGGAGGAAACAGTGCCTCATCGTTGGTGTCAGTGTGGAGGAGGAATAGTGCCCCATCGTTAGTGTCAGTGGGGGAGAGGAGCGGCTGCTCCTTCTTTTAGTTCGGCCGCTCGATTTTTCGCGGGGCCGCTCGGCTCCGCCTCCTCGCCGGTGATTGGTCGCATGTGTGCCTTTCCAGTGCTAGCGCCCAATCACCGGTGAGGAGGCGGAGCCGAGCGTCCATCAAGCGGCCGAACTGAAAGAAGGAGCAGCCGCACTTCCTGGACCAGATCGTCGTCGGACCGGGACCAGAGCCAGGTAAGGTACAGCAGCCCCTCTGCCCACCCCTGTACTTAGTTTCCGTTGGAGGAGGAGGGGGGGCGGCGCCGCCCCTCGAAAAAGTGCCGCCCTGACACCGGCTCGCCGTTATACCGGCTTCAGTATGGTATTCCAATGATGGGACACTATTCCTCCCACTGACACCAATGATGAGGCACTACTCCTCCCACTGACACCAATGATGGGGCACTATTTCATCCACTGACACCAATGATGGGGCACTATTCCTCCCACTGATACCAATGATGGGACACTATTCCTCCCACTGACACCAATGATGGTGCCCCATCATTAGTGTCAGTGTGTGAGGAATAGTGTCACATCATTAGTGTCAGTGGGAGGAATAGTGCCCCATCATTAGTGTCAGTGGGAAGAATCGTGTCCCATCATTAGTGTCAGTGGGAGGAATAGTGCTCCATCATTGGTGTCAGTGGGAGGAATAGCACCCCATCATTGGTGTCAGTGGGAGGAATAGTGCCCCATCATTGGTATCAGTGGGGAGAATAGTGCCCCATCATTGGTATCAGTGGGAGAATAGTGTCCCATCATTAGTGTCAGTGGGAGGAATAGTGCCCATCATTGGTGTCAGTGGGAGGAATAGTGTCCCATCATTAGTGTCAGTGGGAGGAATAGTGCCCCATCATTGGTGTCAGTGGGAGGAATAGTGTCCCATCATTAGTGTCAGTGGGAGGAATTGCGCCCCATCATTGGTATCAGTGGGAGGAATAGTGTCCCATCATTGGTATCAGTGGGAGGAATAGTGTCCCATCATTAGTGTCAGTGGGAGGAATAGTGCCCCATCATTGGTGTCAGTGGGAGGAATAGTGTCCCATCATTAGTGTCAGTGGGAGGAATTGCGCCCCATCATTGGTATCAGTGGGAGGAATAGTGCCCCATCATTGGTATCAGTGGGGAGAATAGTGCCCATCGTTGGTGTCAGTGGAGGAGGAACAGTGCCTCATCATTGGTGTCAGTGTGGAGGAGGAATAGTGCCCCATCGTTGGTGACAGTGGGGGAGGAACAGTGCCTCATCGTTGGTGTCAGTGTGGAGGAGGAATAGTGCCCCATCGTTAGTGTCAGTGGGGGAGAGGAGCGGCTGCTCTTTCTTTTAGTTCGGCTTTTCGCGGGGCCCGCTCGGCTCCGCCTCCTCACCGGTGATTGTTCGCCTGTGTGCCTTTCCAGTGCTAGCGCCCAATCACCGGTGAGGAGGCGGAGCCAAGCGTCCATCGAGCTGCCGAACTGAAAGAAGGAGCAGCCCGCTTCCTGGACCGGATTGTCGTGGGACCGGGACCGGAGCCAGGTAAGGTACAGCAGCCCCCTGCCCACCCCTGTACTTAGTGTCCATTGGAGGAGGAGGGGGGCGGCGGTGCCCTTCGAAAAAGTGCCGCCCTGACACCGTTTCGCCATTATACCGGCGTATAAGACAACCCCCGACTTTTCAGAAGATTTTCATGGGTTGAAAAGTCGTCTTATATGCCGGAAAATACGGTACATAGTTCTGCCTGAAGTGAAAAGAAATTGCTTTTGTAGTCAAATGATTTTTACTTGCTTGATTTAGGCCCCCTTTCACACTGGCAGTCCGTATTTTTTCATCAGTTCAGTCGTGTTTTTTCCAGAGAAAAAACGTATCAGTTCACATCAGTTTCTCATCAGTTTACGGCAGTTTTTCATCAGTTTACGGCAATTTTTCATCAGTTCACATCAGTTTACGGCAGTTTTTCATCAATTCACATCAGTTTTTCATCAGTTTACTGTAGTTTTTAATAGTTCACATCAGTTTTTCATCAGTTTACATCTGTTCTTTGTCCATTTACATCTGTTCTTTGTCCGTTTTACATCCGTTTACATCAGTTTTTTTTTGTCCGTTTTTCATCCGTTCTGTTTATTTAATGGAAAAAAAATAGGATTTTCTTCCGTTACAAAAAACTAATGTTAATGGATGCGGACATTAATGGATGTAAACAGATGATCAGATGATCATCCGTTTACATCCATAGAAATACATGGGTGTCCATTTTTCATCTGGAAGCCCATGTGAAAGGGACCTTACTGTATATGTAATGTCTAGAACAGTGTATCTCAACCTTTTTTCAGTCAAGGCCACCTTTTAAAGCATATTCAGTCTCAAGCAGTGGCGGACTGACCATTTGGAAACTCAGGCAATGCCCAAGGTCAGTAGCGGGCCCCATGAGATGCCCCTGGTACCTTTTTCATAGGCTTTTTTGAGTTTGGGCAAGGACACAGGGGCCCCATGATCCCCTATTGCTCGGGGGCCCCATGAGTTGTCAGTCTGCCCCTGGTCTCAAGGCACACCAATCTAAGGCTAGGTTCATACTAATGCAGGTGTGGGACACCTCCACACATCTAAAGATACAGCACACTTCCGGGTGTGGGAATAGCTGAGAAATCGCATGGTACAAAAGGGGGGGGGGAACAATGTGGTTGAACCCCTCTCCCCCCCAACTACTCTCCATTTACCTGCAGAGGCACCAGTCAGGGTTGTACACATGCTGTAGCCACGGTGCTTTGTGGCTATGGCAGGAATTATACCCCTTGTTGCATTCAGCAGGCATTACTGATGTATGAAGCCTCGCAGCAACCACATGTGCAGTGGTGCTGCATATAGTGGGTTAAAACAGGCAGTGAGGAGGTGACATATCACCTCCACACCACCTGTCAAATGCCTCTGAAAAGCGATCCGAGCATGGATTGCTTTTCAGAGGAGCAGCATTCCGTACTGCTAGTGTGAATGAGCCCTGAAAAAGCAGTCCTGCTAGCTTGGAAAAGCAGTTCTGACCATGCAGAATGTAGGATCAAAAGTAATGTACAGACATGCATACACATGAACTCATATATGTTGGTTATGTGTTATAGAAGACACTGGTAGTGATGGCAGAATTCAGACTTTACTTGTGTGGCTTAAGTTACAAACATACAGAGCACATTTCAGCAGACTTATTACTTCCTGAAGATAGAGAGGAAGGAGGAAGAGAGAGAACCAAATGCACAACTAGTGACCTTAGTGTACAGTGCCATCTACTGGTCAAGTGATATTAACACACAATACTAATATATAGTACATTATAGTACATGCTGTTGCATTCCCAACACCCCTTCTCAATGGCATGTGCATAATTATATGACATTTAGTCTCTTTTGTAGAAAACAATGACGTTCCCTTGTTTTTGGATAATCTGGTTCCATTGGTGTTTTCACTTCCTTTGCATCTTGCATGCGAAACTGTTCCAACATTTCTGAAATTTTCTGACTTTGGTTAAGAGGTAGGTAGTGAGTAATATTCCCCAACTCTTTAATTTAAAAATTTTGTTTCAGTTTGTGAACTATTTGGTCATAGTCCCCTTCTTGTTCAAAACACGTCAAGATGTCATCGACATATATTAGGATGTATGTCCATTTTTGTTCTCTTGATTCTTTGAATACAGACATGGATCTGCTTTACTTTTTGAGAACCCTTCTTTTCTGAGTATTTCATTCACTTTTTCATTCCATGCTCTCGCTGCTTGCTTGAGCCCATAGATGCTCTTTTGCAGTTTGCATACAAGGTTCTTTTCTTTCTCAAAGCCTGGTGGTTGTTCCATGTACAGATCCTCCTTGATGTCTCCATACAAAAAGGCAGTTTTGACATCTAGGTGCTTTACTTGCATTCCCTTTCCGGCAGCAATAATAAGGAGTGTCCTTATGGTAGAATGTTTCACAACTGGAGCAAATGTGTCTCATCGTAATCTTCTCCAAATTTCTGGGAGTATCCCTTGGCAACTAATCTTGCTTTGTATCTATAGATGTTTCCTTCTGTATCATATTTCACTTTAAAAGTCCATTTGCTTCCGATGGTTTTGCAACCAGGAGGGAGTTCTGTTAGTGACCAAGTTTTTATTTTCTTGAAGTGATTTTATTTCTTCTTCAGCTGCTTTTCTCCACTGATCGGCTTCCCTTCTCGGCAAAGTTTCTATGTCTTCCCAGGATGTTGGCTCCTGTGTTTGATGTGTTTTAGCAGCGTATGATAACCTGCGGGGTGGTATTCCTTTTGTCATTCGTGAGGATCTTCTGATTTCTTGTTGTTCAGTGGGTTCTATTGGCTCGTTGATTGTAAGTTCCACTTCTTGTTCTGGCTCTGGTCCTGGTTCGCATGGGTCAGTGTCTCTTGCTGATTCAGCGTGTAAATCCTCTCCATATTTTTCAAGAATTGTATTATCTGATGCTTCACTTTCATCAAAATAAACACTGCGGCTTACTGTGACCTTGTTGGTCTTTGGACAAAGGATTCTATATCCCTTACTCTGCTCACTGTAGCCCACCAGAATGCCTTGTATGGCTTTGTTCTCCAACTTGGAGCGTTTCTGACTTGGAATGTGGGCATATGCTTTACAGCCGAACACTCTGATGTGTCCTACGTTAGGTTTTGATCCATTCCACATTTCATATGGTGTACTCTCAATAGCTTTTGATGGGAGCCTGTTTTGTAGGTATGTTGCAGTCATTATTGCTTCTCCCCAGTATTTGTTAGGTAAGCCAGCGTCCGTAAGCATACATCTTGTCATTTCTACAAGAGTGCGATTCTTTCTTTCAGCTACACCGTTTTGCTCAGGAGTGTATGGTACAGTTTGTTTGGTGTATAATACCTTGTTTCTTTAGGTATGATTCCATCTCTTTATTCATATATTCCCCTCCATTGTCAGTGCGTATTATTCCAGGTTTCCTTTGAAACTTGTTGCTTGTCTTAGCTACAAACTCTTGAAGTTTTTCTAATGTCTCACTTTTGTGCTTCATTAGATACGTTATTGTGTACCGGGAATAATCGTCAATGAAAGTCCAGTAAATATCTGTTCCCGCCAGGTGTGATGGTTTTCATTGGTCCGCACACATCACTGTGTATCAGTTCCATGGGTTTAATGGTTTTACTCTGACTGGTCTGTGGAAGAGAGGTTCGGGTGGCCTTTGCTTTGATGCAACACGTGCACTTGCTGAGTGTGTGGCAAGGCAAATATTTTCATGTCTTCTGATAGACCTCTCTTTGCAAAGTCCTTTATAGCTTCTGGGTTTTGATGCCCCAATCTTCTATGCCACAGGTGGATGCACTTGTCATGTGGGCTATGAGTTGCCGCATTAGCCTTCTCACTTTCAGTGATGATTTTGTACAGATGTTCATTTAATCTTCCTCTTGCTAGAATTTGCTTTCCATTTTGAATTGTGCATTCATTACCTCTGAACTGGACAGTGAGTCCATTGCTTGCAAGGGTTTTAACTGATAGGAGGCTTCCTTCTAGGCTTGGAACATATAGAACATTCTTTACAAGGATGCTCTGCTTGCCCCCTGATGGCGTTTTGCAGTTCAGAAATCCCTGACCTTTACCTTCCGCTGTAATACTTTTCCCATTTGCTAGAAAGACTTTATCTTTTACACTAAAATCAATTTCTGTGAAGAATGTCTTGTCGCTTGTCATGTGACTTGTTGCC